ATTTTCAGTACAAATCGGCAATTTCATACTTTAACCCCTATTATTTGAGAATTGTTTCAATTATTAGTAGTGAGTAGGCGTCAAGCTCTGTATAGGATATTTGTTAATAGTTTGAGAGTGATATTTCCCTTTTTTCTTTCCTTTTTCTTTAACCATTCTATTCTTATGTAGACCTCCACCATTGAGTATATAAGTATATGATCAGAAATAGAGACGAAATGTCATTGATGTAATTTGATTTGTGTGAAAACTATTCTGCCCACGGAAGAAAGAAAATAATGTGGTCCTGCGCTCCGATTGGCCAGACCGAATTCGAAACAATTGACGGGTGCCGTAAATTTTTTCGCTTCAAATGGGCCAATTAAAATCTATAATGGACGAAAATTGCAAAATTACATATTTAATATTCAATTACCGATGAAATTTGATTCCGTTTGTTTTGTAATTAGATGTTTTGCTGTTTTTCCCCACACCACCGAATGGAACAGCACGCCATTGTTAGAGACATTATTACAATAAACACAGATTTTTTTTTATTTTAATATACGGAGACGTACACACAGGTCAGTTGTTGACGCTGTCTATATTTCAGTGCGACTGAGAGTTGATATTTACAAGTGATGTATCACTGATGAGTTACCACGAATGTATGACCCTTATTTCGTCTCTATTTCTGGTTATATACTCTATGAACTCCACCTATGATTAGATTTGTGCCTGCCAGAGTGAGAGACTGGGTTCGATGACACATAAGTAGTTTTGAAACTTCAGTGTTTATAAAAATTTCGTCCTCGTTGTTATGGTGTTTCGATCGAGCTAATATTGGTTTCAAAAGCGGTGATAAGTTAGAAACAATGATGCAGGCGGTACTGAAGTTTCTGTAACGTTACAAACGCGTAATGATTCTTAATAAACGATCGCCTATATATGCTGGTTCTAAATTGATACATATTAACAGACAAACCAACAGAAAACTTGGCTTTATTCATCTTTAAAATCGCACTTGGCACAACGTAATAACAATCCATGGCAAGAAGCCATAGAGTTGCACATCAGTATTCAAGTATTATGAACTAATGTCCCTAACACAGTCCGGGTAATTCTCATTCTCAATGAAACCCAGGCAGTCCCAGAAGCTACGCAGTCCGAAGTCGGAGCTAGTTTTCATTTCCATGTTGATCGGCGACGAGATCTCTAAGTAGTTGATGTCAGGAGACCCAGGAACCACTGGTAACCAAGGCCTACCATTGCTCAGTTGTGGTGTTCTGAAAGTTTTACCATAGTATAATAAGATAAATATTGTGACTCCATTCATACGTAGCAGCGTGGCTTGTATGTGTGCCACCCTCCGCGTGACGTGCACGGATCGGAAAATGTCGCGGCGCACTCGAGTTGCCTAGTGCGGTTCGCACGCTCCGTACATTGTAGAATTGAAGCGTTAAAATATTTCAAATAACGTTCTGTGTGGCTGCGCCATTATGATACATTTTTTCACTTGCCGCACCAAAAATATTTATTATCGGTGGTGGTATTTCGTATCATCGGACAGTCTTATTTAATAAATTTTCAATTTTCTGTTTATCGATATAATTTTTTTGTTACAAGAGACGAAAGTAAAGCTTCATGGTCGCTTCTTGTTTGGAGATTAATAGCTCCATTGAAATGATTTTATTTTTTTTATTTTTTTTTTGTTCCACGATACTGGTATAAAAAGATTACTATGTAAATATCTTTAAGTCTAGTGTTCTGTTTACTGTTTGCGTGAATAGTTTGTGTTTTAATTTAATCTATTCTTTTTGTTATTTTTTGTGTTTTTGTTTCGTTTTTTTTTCTTTTGTTGTGTCATTGTGGTAAACAAATAAATGTATTTTCTTTCTTTCTTTTTTCCTTAACTGCATTTGACAAAATTTATTTCAATATAGCACGGGAATGATCTGATGAATAATTTTAATTTCTTCAAGTTATGTTTTGCAATTTTTGAGTACAATTAAAATAATAATGTGACATCCCTAAGTTTCGAGGGGGTTGCACTACTTGTTACTAGATATGCTTATCATTGTCAAACATTTCTAAAACTTGTATCCAAACCTGACGTACAGTCTCTCAAGCAGTGTCGGTTTGAATCTGGGCTTGAAATTCTGAGTTTTCGGAATTTACTTGCGTAATTAAATTTGAAATTGACTATGAGGTTTTCAGTGAAGGAAAACGTAATGAGCAAATCCACATCATCCCTCGTGGGAACTGTAGCTCTAGCCCTCTTAGTGTGAGAGGAGGCCTGTGACCACCAGTGGGACTATAATATAGGCTATAGTTTGTGCCAAATAGCATGGCAATAGCGATCATTCACCGGACTTTCAGCCCAAGCCCACAATTCCCAGCGACCGGTCGCCGATTTCCAACAAAACCGTCGCAATTTTGGCATCGCGTGATTAAGATAATAAAAGTCAATGATGTAACTTAAAAATAAATGAAATTGAGGCATGTCCGTGTATATCTGTGCTCTGTACCGGAGCCAGCCATAGATATGCAGAGTTTCGTTTCAAGTTAGCGTTAGCGTTAGCATTCTTCACAACAGAAAAAGTAGTAAGAAACCAGAGACGATTTTTACGCGCAATTCTTCGAACACTCGTAATCTTCGTAACGAAACGTTTCACATCATGCCATAAAAACGCACTTTGTTATGTATCCAGATTTGCATAACACACATACCTAAAACGTCAGTTCAATGCACTTGCATTCGCGCACCCCGGAACGCGCGCCCCGTGCATTGCAACGTGACCGATGCAAAACTCGTCATTTTAATTATAATTATGAGACACTTTTCGGCCCAACGTTCCTAACATCGGACGTAGACTAAATTCCTTTAGTTAAGATCTTTTTTCGTATAAGTACTTTTAGACCTAACGTACCTAACTTCGGACGTTCTTAAAATTATTTAGTTTAAGAAATACTTTTTTGGAAATTTAATATAGTTATACATCATATTTTCTCGTCTTTACTTCATCTCCACTGCGGCCACCCTATATAATTACTTGATGGTTAATGCACATGGTAGTGGTTTTTTGCACTAACTCTTGTTTACACAAACCACGTTGCATTTCGTGAAAAACTAGAACGTATGCGCGATGTCAACTGATGATCTACCAATCACGCGCTCGATACGATACTCCCCCCTACACGTACTCGTACCCTGCCACCAAATAGATATAAAATACATGAGTTTCTGCGCATACGGCGCATAGGTCATTGTTCAACTGCTTGCCGGTACCTGTGATACGTGTAGTGCAAGTCAATGACCTTTGAATCAATCTTGGTTACCGCAATTAAATAAAAAATAAGAATTAGGAATTTTTTCAATTTTTTTTGTGTTTGGGTTCAGTTTCGGATACAGAATGACCTCTGTAAATAAGGCGAGAAATCAACACATTGTATATATGTGTGAATATAACTAATCTACACGAATTGCACTCAGTCGGTGACTTGTGGTGCAATTTTATAATTTCAAAAATATAAAATACATCAATTTCCTTTTGACGTGCATAAAAATACCGAATATTTAATTAATATGTTTCCTTACTATCAAACTATTTAAATGTTTACAACCCCTGAGGTCATTAGTATCCACTAAAGGTCAAAGTGACCTCTACCACGATACGCTAACGATAATTCTTTTGCACGTTATTAGGAACATTGGAGAGTATCGTTTTCACAAATGATGTACACAAACTATAACTATTATGTTATTACTATTCTGTCCAAAACTGACTGGACTATTGACGGATAGTTGAATCAAATTAAAATTAACTGTTTTTTTTTTCATCAGCTAAGATCACCGCTGATATTGTAGGTAGTATTATCTTAGTTTCCATTACCCAGTGCTTGCATAGCTATAGATAATATCAAGAAGAGCTTCAGTCATCAGTCTATCATCTTCGGAGTCATCGGTGATTTTTGCGAGCTTGGTGATGTGGAGAAAATCGTCAGCGTGGCTCGTACCTGCAATATACGAATTCCTATAAAGTAAATTGAGAAGAAGCGAGCGCCTACGACGGTGACGCTTAAAAATTTCGACACCTACGCCAACTTAATTTTTTGACTTGTTCTGTTTTTATTTTGTTTTATGTTTATTTATTTTGTTTGACAAAGTAGTCGTTTTTTCTTTTTTTTTTCAGAATTTTGTTTTTCTTAATATTTTTTTTTACAAGATTCTGGAAGCATAATATCATATCAGTAAATTGGCTGTTTACAAACATAACAGAAATTTATCAAAATATAAACTTCCCTTGGAGGTATCGATTTGCTTTGTTCATATAAATTGGATCACAAGATAAGACAGGAAATTTCTTTAATGTTTAAATTTTTATTCTATTGTAATAAAGAAATTTTGTGGAGCTGTAAGTAGGCAATCCCTTACGATATTCACGGTAAGGATCCAAACGTATGCCCGGCAGTGTTAACGTGTTGCGCTTGACGCTGTGCCAGAGCTGAATGACCAAATCGGTATTCGCTAAGTGATATTAAGCGACACTAGCGCTCGCTATAAATAGTAAATAGCAAACTATGTTCCGGACCGTCGATTTATGTCGGTAACTAGGGTATGAAATTAGCTGCCAGGGTGTTTATTAAATCTTACCCAATAATGTGGAATGAAATAAATATTCCGAGAAATAGTGAGAAATTTATAATTTGCTTTCATAATCGACACTTTATTTTGTCTTTTTTATTATGAAAAGTATAACAGACAAATTTGGAGCCATTATTATGCTCAAATAACAATTAAAACACGATCAATACATTAATTCTTGTCATTAATGATTGATTGATTGATTACTGATTTACAAAAGATTTCGCTAGCTCACGGCAACAAAATTGTAGCTTTTAGATTTGGCAGTCAAAATCGAGGTTATGGGCGAAGTCGAGGCCGTATTTCGTTAGAGAATACCAAACTCCATACAAAACTGTCAAAGTTCAGCGTTGAAATTAGTTTCATTCGCCGCCGATCTCGACGCTGAGCGCTAGTGTCGCTTAATGTCACTTAACGAAGACCGATTTGGTCATTCAGCGTAAACGTAGGTAGTGCTTAAATTCTCTTTGATTCAGCGCTGGCAAAGCGTCGAGGGTTGCGCGGTCACGTTAGAGAATAGCCCAGTGTATCCACTAGAGAATAGCATATCAGCTACAAACGTATTTTTTTTTTGATAAATTTGTGGTGTTATATCTCACTATTTTAATGTTGAGTCGTACTAAAAGAAAAAAATTGTGATTTTAAAATTTGGGTGGCGTGTAAAATGTCGTTGTGTGTATATAAAGACACAATATAATCCTAAAACTTAGTAATCTGCGATGGGAAGAATGCTAACGGCCCAATCAGGCCCTCACACGATACCCGATGGTTGAGAACCTTCTTCCACGTGCAGGTTTCCTCACGACGATTTCCTTCACCGAAAAGCTCATGGTCCATTTCAAATTAAATTTTGCATTCAAGAATTGAGAGCAAGGCTTCTGTGAGAGGCGCTAGGCCTCTGTGAGAGGCGCTAGACCAGACCGCTAAGTGTACATTCCAATGTACCAAATATAATTAACTACATGCTGCAGCGTTGTCGAGCACAAGTCACACAGTCACCAAAACAAAGAATTTATTGCAAACCAAATTTTCCGATCGCATAATTTCACGCAATTCAGTCGTTAAGTGGCCAGCTCGATCATGTGATTTAATACCGGTGGATTATTTTTTATGGGGTTATGTTAAAGACAGAGTCTATACGGAGCCAATCGAATCGATTGCAGCCTTAAAACTCAAAATTCGTGAAGTGATTAACGAAATAAACCCACCATTTTGTCAAAAAGTGATTAAAAACTTTGATGAAAGAATCGACATCGTAACTGTGGTCGTGGTGGACATTTATCAGATATAATTTTTCATTCGCAATGCCAAACCTTAGTTTTTTTTAATACAGTAAAAATTGGAATCATTGTCATCTAAATTTATTGTTTTATTTTGATTTACAAAACAAAGTTCTTGTTGAAAAACCTTATATTAATAATCATAACAACTAAGTATTGCCATTTTACCTATTTCAGCCGCCAAGTTGAAAGTAATGCCTGCATTAATGTGCCCGGTTTTGAAGGGTAAGTGTGCTGGTGAAATGGAACATGGGACTGGTCAACTTATGTCTCAAGGTGACGGGCGCAGTGGCAGTGCCCCTTAGATCTTTGCGATTAAAGCTCTGAGTTGCACTATAACTGTTATGGACAGGCGCGCAGCTTACCATCAGGCGCACGAGTTGTTCGTCCCGTCACTTGATATTATAAAAAAAGTCATTACACAAAGAATCTCAATAATAGGTACTTCATTAGTTTAGCGGGTCTGCGACATATTCTTGATGTGGTGGACACCGGATTACCTCGGGTTGGCCAATATATATTGTTGTTACTCAGTGCCGGCTTTAGATACTTACGGTACAGGATTTGTTGCGTAAACGGGTGCAGGGTTTTAGGGGGCGCCGAGCACCGCCCGCTCCGCCTCCACATCGCGTTCTCTTCATTTATAATTGCACCATTTACACCCGAATTTCCGATCATTGGAGAAAATATAACTAAGTATTCCATTTTGATCGCTGACCTACTAGAGGGCGCCAGGATATTAATTGCACCCGGGCGCTACATTGGCTAGCGACGGCACTGTTGTTACTGAGCAGTGGACATACAGTTGGAACTTACTTTCATACAAGTTACTTTAGTTTATAAAAATATAAGTACTTACCGTAGTTGATCTTGTTCATTGCCATGAGATTGTAAAGGCTGAAGTTTCCACGAAATGTGTACCGGTAGACATACACCGGCTGCCTGGATTTCTTTGCTTGAACCTGAGCTAATTTGCCCACGTCCTTTGTGAAGAGACGGTCACCTAGGGCCTGATAAACTATAAAATATCTCTTTGTCTCCAACATCTCGGTCGACTTAGCATAATTATTGTCTCTGTGGCCGAACGGTTACCATACTGGGCTGCAACTCACGAGGTCCCGGATTCGATTTCAGGGCCTAGAGAAATATTTGTATAATCCACATTTATTTCTCTCGAGAGTTTGGGTGTAATTTGTGGTTGTCTATGTGTCCATAGTACCCGCGATACAGGGTCACCCTAGTGCGGAGCTATAAGCGTGTGCGTTAAAAAAAGATTTTTTGTGCTGGTTTTGTAAGTGTTATCATATTAATACCTTTAAATAGGTTCACTAACCTATAACATGACCTATCGATGCCTTTCTTTCTCAAACTCGTATCTTATAAAGAGAGATTTTTCAGGAGATGGCAAAACTTTCTATTTATTTTAAGTTTCTTATCAAGGGTGTTAATTTGGACGTACTTACTTCAAGAATAGGTGAAAGCCAGTGTGTGAATATGAAAGAAATGTGATGTGAAATCAACCTGCGAAATTTGTATATACAATCCATATTTTGCATTTCAGTAACTTTGTGCTTTATGATACGAGTTTGAGAAAGTAAGGCGACGCTATGATAAATTGGTCATACACAGTGGTCTATGACCAATTTATCAACAACGGTCGGTCCCGGGTTCAATACCCGGTAGGACTCAATACCCAATATATTTAAAGCATTCATATGATAAACGTTTCAAAATTAAAATTAAGTTGCACATATGAGCCCTGTATCAGGGATAACGATAAGAGCAGAGGTAGAACGAGGTTCAAATTATTTTAGTCACTAAAATTATTCACATATCAAAATAATAATAAATATGTCACTTAAATTACAATAATAATAATAATAATAATAATCATTTATTTCGGAACTGGGTCCATAGATTGTTAGTTAAAATTACAAAATGCTTAATTCTAAGGGTTAGTTACACAATACAAAAATACAAAAAACAAAATAAAAAAGAAACAAAATAAAACTATGCGACTGATGGTATGGTATGAAGTCGCATCCAGTGTGCGAACATCGGCGAGTCCCAGCGTGCAGACAACGCGCTCAGGATGCGGTTGGGGCTGCCGCGCAAGCGGCTTAGCATCGAGGCACACCTCTTGCGCATGATGGCTGCAAAACCGTCTGTATGCGACTCCGCAAACATCCCCGAGGCGCTACAATAGCGCGGCAGCCCCAGCAACACCCGGAACGCGTTGTTGTATTGCACGCGCAGGCCGTTGTATGTCCTCTGCGTATAGTTGACCCACAGACTGCACGTGTAAAAGGACTGACAATAAGATTTAAACAGTGTAATCTTTACTTGTCTCGTACATCGTGCAAACCTGCGGGCGAACATGTTACAACGAACAACCAACGACCTACGCTCCCTCTCGATGTCGCTATTGTCAGATAGGTCATCCGTGACCCAGTGACCCAAGTACTTAAATTTCGAAACTATTTTTAAAGGAGCGCCGCAAAGTGTTAGATTAGGTATAATATTGTAACACTTAGTACCTGCCTTAAATGCCATCAGCTCGCTCTTCGAAACATTGTACCTGAGTCCATGGGCCACAGCGTATGACTCACAAATTTGCAACATAGACATAAGTGCTCTAATCGATGGACTGAGCAGCACCATATCGTCAGCGTAACTTATATTATTAACACACATTCCGTCAATATGACATCCGACCATAGTGCGGCTCAGCTCATCGATGAGTCTATTCATATACAGATTGAAAAGTTTGGGCGAGCTCAGCCCCCCCTGCCTCACCCCGCATTCCAATCCATAACAGTCCGAAGTAGCACTTCCCCATCTGATATAGTTGCTTTGGTTATTGTACCAATACCTGAACAAGTCCGTTATTTCACGCGGCAAAGTGGTGTCATTATATAGTTTATCCCATAATACATTATATGAAACCAGATCAAAGGACCTGGAGAGGTCCAGGAAGCACGCGTAAACTGGGGTCTTTCTATTAATGCCATAACGTTATAATATAATACATTTTTTTTTTTCATAGCTCCGGACTAGGGAAACCTTGTAGAAAAAAACACAAACTCACCTCGAAATTTTACAAGAAAACCGCTGTATTCAACAGGTTACTCCACATATACCAATGATCTTTTTTTTATATCAACGGAACTAAATATAACACGTATAGTATACGATAAACATTTTTCAAACGACTTTAATTTCGTTTGTGAAATAATAAATTCTGATATAAATCTAGAGTCCCTGACCCTCGATCCAAGCAAAATGAACCGTATTAAGTAGTGCCTAAGTGAAAAATTAGAATTCGAGCTGAGAGCTACCTCATTTTTTATGCTTAGGAAGTTATCGAATAATTTCGTTCCTAGACCCCTTAAATCTCTCTCCTGAAAAGTTGTAATTTGGCAGATGACATGCCTTATTACATCAAGGGAGCAGATACGGTGGTTTATTTGACCTAGACTTGAAGTTTCATACCTGTACAAGTTGTGAGAAAGTCTCCTGTCCAACAGGCTTGCCGGCCAAATACTTGTCCTTTATCTTTATGGCAACCTCGCGTCGGCGCTCCAGCGGTAATGTGTCGTTGTATTCGAAGATATAGCTGGACAGTTGCTCCCAGTTGGCTTCCAGCTCTTCCAGAAGCTTGGGATCGCTCTGATACGCTAGTAGAAGATATCATTATCGTTTTGACCACATAGAGGCGGTATCGGGACCGGGATTTTTTGTAATGTTCGAGTGACATTGAAACCGAGTGACAAACAGACACTCTATGACAAACAGGCGCGCGCCGTGTCCGGGGCAAACGCGGGGAGGGTGCGGTACGCTGTATTCCATTGAGTTCTATGCAACCGTCCACATTTATTATACCGTTGCATGTTGTATTTTTTTACAACTCTTGAGTGTCTTTTTATTAAGTTTCAGTATGAATTCGGTCGAAATTTCTTATGCGTTGCTTCCGTAACGCGAATAAACGCACAATTTTGTGTTGAACATTATCCGACAGAGATATGGTGCTTTCTTTAAAATCTAAGCAGAAAATGAAACGTGGTTGCTTATGAGTGTTACACCGCTGCTGGACTGCTGTGCGGCACGCCCCAGTACGCATTAGCTTCCCACAGGTCCGCCCCCAAACCGCTTTTCCCGCTGTAGCGCGTCTGTGTGTCCTGACCTTAAATGTTACTCACGTATTTTTATTTTTATAATACCCAGTGACTACAGTGGTAACAGTTGCAGTGCCACTCAGAGTTACAAATTACAAAAATCTGAGGGGCACTTCCACTGCGCTCGTCACCCTAAGACATAAGTTGGCAAGTTCCATGTGTATGTAATTTCACCAATACTTATATACATAACAAATGAAACCGACTTTTTCGGATCTAAATAACAAAAAATATTTGTTTTATTCAAACAAGCCAACGTTTTGGGCCCTTTACTCCCATGTTCACGTCTGACTGAAGTGGTCAAGTCACGTCAAGAGTTCGAAACGTTGGTTTGTTTGAAAAACAAATATACGTGACTTAGATACGAAAAAAGAAGGTTCGTTTCGTACGTGTAACAATCGCGAAAACCTAATAACTGGATTCGTTTGGACATACAATTATCTCTTTTACATCATACACGATGATGGTGAAGCAAAAGTAAAACCAATTAACATTGGTGACCCGAATATCGTTAAAAAGAAAGTAATTTAGTTCTAGTATAAATATGGATATTTCTTCTTACATTCTTTTGGCATAGTTTTTGATCGGTGTTGTTTCGAAATAATCTTTATTCTTATTGTAGATGGATCTCATATTAGTGTTCTCGAAAGTATGTGAATATTTTAGGTGGTAGTCGCTGTGGAAAAATTCTTGAATTCTTACCAGCTGCAGGGTATAATCCCTCTTCCGAATTGACTGAGAGAATAAGAGGCGCATTATATACGGATCCATCCTGCGCAGCGCAGTACGGGTGCTTGGTCAGGAAAGGGTCTTTCACTTGCGGCGCTTCTACAGTGGGTGTGAATGGGGTGAACAAGTGCACTCTCCATTGCTGAAATTCGGGAGGTTTAAGTGTCCTACAAGGTGTCTAAAAACTCTCGATTTGGGCTTTTTTTACGTGACAACTGCTGGTTTGGCTTTTTAACTGACAACAAAAAAAAACTGGTTTCCAGCGGATTGTACGTGACAGAATAGTAGTTTAGGCAGAATTATAAATTGGTAATAATAAATTTATTCAGTGAAAAATGTACATTATTATTGCAATGAACTAAAACCAAATAATGAAAAAGAATTTTTTCGATAAAAATATAAGTGCGCATTTGACCGTCATCTCACGTGATGGAAAGTCACGACGACGGAGCATGCACACCTAAATATTGCCAATTCACTCTCGCCTTGAAAAGGCCCAAGTTGTACCGTTCAGAGAATAAGAGTGCAAGCAAGGAATTCCACTCCATGGCCATTCGCCATATAAATGTGGAAGCGTAACGCTTCGTGCGAATCATGGACCAATAAAGCCAAGAGGATTGCTAATCTCCATACTGCAGATCGTAACTCTGGAAAAGGTCGAAATTCCGTCTCGTGTCTAGATGGCGTTGATCAATACTCTGGAAATAGTTTACATTATGTAAATACAAATGCAAATGGTCGTGGGCATCAATTAATATGAAATACAAATAGTCAGTTTTTTCCATGTAATTCATGCATTCGAATATTGACCATCATAAGCAAAAATTATTTTCTGAACTTTGACAAATGCGTACCCATAAATGGCATTGTGACTTACAAAAGTTACAAACTAATACATACTTTTGCTTACGGACCAGTTCAATCGAACTACAAGAGCAATTTCGCTGTTCAGTGTGAAG